TAAAGTAATATACAAGATAAGTAAAATAACAGATTAGTCGAATGATAACAAAATAAATAAAACACATTCACACGTATGTACAATATTTACATTGGCACAGGGAACTCTGAATCAAGCTTTATCCTCCAATTGTGGAAGCCAAAGCAGGACTCCAGGAGATCCCAGTGCTTCTCTCCCAGCCGCGTCACTGGTGTAGTAAGCCAGTGGAGACTGATGGAGGGCAGTAGAGCAACAGACGCTCAGGACATGAGTGAAGAATCTGGCCAGTGCCAGTACTCCAATATATATATTTTTACAAAAGGTCGAGCGGCCACTGCCGTTTTAACCTCCAAGGAGGATTGTAGAGATGACTGGAAGTAGATAGAGACTGTGCTACAGGATTAGGATGATGAGTGAGATTTTGGTGAAATTTGGAAAATTTGTCTGGGATTTGGTCAAGTACATATGGAATATTAAGGTCATTGTGTAGGGTTTTATTGGTTACGTAAAAGGGAGCATCAACTATTGTTCGAGGAACTTTAGACTGGAAGGATTGAATGCGTTTGATGTTAGAAAGTTTTGTTGTCCCCCACAGTTCTAGTCCGTTGGTCTAGATAGGTTTCAGGATTGTCTTGTAGATTAATAGTTTGTTCTCAACTGAATGTTGAGATTTTCTATTGTGTGGTCTATATAGCTGGCCATATCGTCGGTTAAGCTGTTGTCTTTTAAGTCTGGTATGTGGGTTCCATATTAGTCTTTTGTCTTGAAGGAAGCCAAGGTACCGAACTGTGTTGGAGGGGGGAAGTGGTATGGAGTTGAAATAAACTGGTGGACACGACTTGCGCCGGAGGGTGAAGGTGGTGTGTTTGGATTTGGATTCATTTACTTGGATGCGCCACTTATTACACCAGTGTTCAATAAGAGAGAGATGACTTTGTAAGTTAAAGGGTCTGAATTGGAAGATAGGATGGCTGTGTCATCAGCGAATGTTGCCAGGAGGGTTTCAGGATGAGTAGGAATATCAGCGGTAAAGAGAATGTAAAGGATAGGACCCAAGGTGCCCTCTTGAGGAACTCCCGCCTGAATTGAATAATACTTAGAAAATCCAGTTCCACAGCGGACTTGAAAGAAGCGGTCAGAGAGATAGGATCTAAGTACTAGATATAAGGGCTGAGGTAGATAGGTAGATATGGTCAACAACTCGGGGGCAATGTTGAACAGTGGAATGTTGGGAACAAAATCCGAATTGGTGGGTAGGAAGGTTTTGGAATTCTATAATGGGTAGGATTCGTTTCAGTAGAATCTTTTCAAAGATTTTTGAAAGGATGGGAAATAGGCTTATTGTTCTATAGGATGTTGTGTTATTAGAAGGTTTACTTGTTTTTAGACAACGGATGATGACAGAATGTTTCCATAAGAGAGGAAAGTGGTTAGTTCATAGGATACAATTGTACACTGACAGGCAAAAAAGGTAAATTGTAAAAAAAGTTGTATTTGTATATATTACATGGTATTTTTAGATAATACTTAGTATTTATGGAATTTTATAATCTTTTTTATCTTTAATAATCAAAATGTGATTAGGTAAGAAAGATTAGAGAAAAAAAAAATTGAAAAACGAACCATTATTATTCTAAAAGAAATTAATTACATCATCGTTTAGTAGCGCGTGTTTCCTCCTCTTTCCTTCACTACTTCTTGAAGACGCCTCGGCATACTTTCCACCAGTAGGGAAATGTTCCTTTGCTGGAGGATAACCCATTCCTCCCAAAGAGCCCTTTCAATTTCCTGAAGTGTATCAGGAAGTGTTGCACGCGCTCTTATTAGTCTTCCGAGGTTATCCCATATATGCTCAATGAGGTTCAAATCTGGAGAACGTGCTGGCCAGGCTAAAACCTCAATATTGTTCTGTTGAAGGAACTTCTGCACTATACGGGCGACATGTGAGCGTGCATTATCGTGCAATAGAATAGAACGATCGCCGATTTCGTTGAGGATAGGCAACGTATAAGGTTCCAAAATCTCATCTACATAGCGAATGGCCGTCAAAGACCCTCCACGAACAACAACCAATTCTTTGCGGCGCTCCATTGAAATCCCAGCCTAGACCATTAAGGAACCACGTTGGAAAGGTTGGCTCTGGGAAACATTACAGTCTGCATATCTTTCGTTTCTTCTTCTCCACACCCTTTCACGCCCGTCTGGCGATCGAAGAGCGAATCTTGACTCATCTGTAAAAAGTACAGCACTCCATTCGTCCATAGTCCAATGGCTGTGTTCTCGAGCAAAAGCCAGTCGTGTTACTCTGTGAGTTCTGGTCAACTCTGGTCCTCTTACTGGACGAAAAGCCATTAACCCATACTCATTTCATATTCTCCGAGCGGTACGTTCAGAAATTTGCACACCTCGAACATCTTCGAGCTGATGAATCGCTTGAACAATGGTAAGGTGCCGGTTTCGTAAAATAAACCGGTCAATTCTCAAAGTAAAAAACCGGTCATCCCGTGGTTCTATTAGCCTAGGCCGTCCAGAACCGGGCCTTCTATTGTAAGAACCAGTTTCCCGAAAACGCATGACGGCGTCTCGTAAAGTTTCTCCGATGGCATTAGCTGCATATCTAATGGAACGTCCATAATCAATAAGTGCCACACCACGTGCAACATCCTCAGCACTAAGAGGCATTTTTAAACTTAATATTGAAAAAATTAAAAGCCGGAGACTAAGAAATGTGCTGCAAGAAACGGCACTGAACTAATGATACTGAATAAACATTTTGATTCCATAGAAAGTAAACATTGGGATCTAGAATCATTTCATTGAATTAAGGATTAAGGGTTATTGTCCTCTATATTAACATTCCTAATTGAAAAACAAACAAAAACATTACCTATTTATTCATTAAAAACAATAGACCAATCCAAAGCAGAAATATTTTTAGATAAAAACATGAAAAAATCAAGTGGGTGGAATTTTTCGCCTGTCAGTGTATATATAAGTGACGAATTTGATTGTTTTGAATGGAAGTTGCCGAAGTATCTGCGGGATTAGAAGGTCGCATCCAGGAGATTTACGGGGAGATAGTATTTGTAAATGATGTTTGACCTCAGAAGGATTAACTGCTTTTGGTGGTAAGGAGAGTGGGATGGGTGAAGACAGGAATTCTTCTACTTTTGCAGTGTGGGTAGGATGGGATTCTGGATGAGGAGTGAATGTGCAAGAGAGGTGTTTGGCGAATTCCTCAGCTTTGTCTTCATCTGACGCCGCCCAGGAGGCATCACTTCGACCGAGGGGATGTGAAACATGGTGGGATTTTAGGATTTTTTTGGTGATATTCCAAAGGGAATTGTCATGAGCGGAGAGAGAGGTAAGATAGGAGTTATAGGATTGGGTCCTGAAGTAGGATAATTCCTGCTTCAGTTGTTCACAGTAATAATTATAGGAACGGCGATCGGCTGGATGTCTAGTTTGTTGCCAAAATGATCTGCACGGCGTTTGATATGGATTAGGTCGAGGAGATGTTGAGATAACTTATTTTTCTTAAGGATTTTTGGAGAGTTATTAGAGGAGAAAGCAGTCCAGACTGCTTGTTGAATCATGGTGGTAAAGGAATGTACGGCATTGTCAAGGTCTTCTGCAGTTTTCAGGGTTATTCTGAGGTCAATTTGATCGGAAAGGATTTGATGAAAGAGTTTTCAGTTGACTGGACCTCTGAGGAAGGATGGTGGGGAGCGTTTAGGAATAGGAGCTGGTGATACTTGGAGTATTAAAGGACTGTGGTCTGAGGAAAGTTCATTAAGACGGGTAAGAGAATGATTGAGGGGACCTAAACCACTGTGGATGAAGAAATCAAGGATATCAGGATTGCGGTTAGGATCAGTGGGCCAGTAGGTAGCTGAGTTAGTAGGAAGGTTGCAGAAATGTTATGAATTGGGAGCAGACAGCAATGTTCTACCACGAAAGTTGGTGGTTCTTGAACCATACTGTTGATGCTTTGAGTTTAAGTCTGCACCCAGGATGAAATGAAGTCCTAAGGAATTGAGGAGGGAATTAAATTGGGCATTGGAGATGGATTGATTAGGAGGGAAATAGGCTGATACACCGGTAATAGGAAAGAAGAAGGTTTTGATTATGATAACAGTGGATTGTTGGAAATTGTGGGTTGGTGTTGGGAGTAGGTGATGAGAGAGAGATTGGTGTACAAGGACAGCAGTACCGGCATGTGCCCTACCGTCATAATGGTCAGTACGATATGTTAAGTACTGTGGGATTTGTAAGTCGAGTTTCAGTAATGAGGGCTACATCATCGTTCTTGTCTAGTAGTAAATGAAATGAAATGAACAAATAATAAAGGCGAGTCAAAGGAATTTCGAAATCTTTAATGTTGGCGACGGGGAATGTTAGAGGAATGGCCCAGGCTGGAACAAGCAAGAACTTGGAGGAGGTGTTGGAGAAGTACAATGTGGATATAGCCGCACTGCAAGAAATAAAATGGGGAAAACAGAGATAATGGACCTTAAGAAGTTTACGATCATAAATAGTGGACACCTGGGGATTTTCTGCCTGGACATGACGTAAAAATAATTATGGGAGATATGAATGCCAAGGTCGGTAAAGAAGCGGCATTTAGACCCACAATTGGACCACACAGTAAACACGATGTGTCAAACGACAATGGGCTTAGAATTATCGATTTTGCCATGGCAAAGAACACGACAATTAGGAGCACACATTTCCCACACAAAGATATTCATAAAGAAACGTGGATATCCCCAGATGGGAAGATAAGAAACCAAATTGACCACGTTCTTATAGATGGTAGACATAACTTAGACATCTCGGATGTGAGAAGTTATCGAGGCGCAGATGTCGACTCTGATCACTTTTTGGTTAAAGTACGTTATGGGCAGAAGCTTGCTAGAAGGGCTCGAGGACATAGAGAGAAGTCCACAAGATATAACAGTGATCTCTTCAAACTGAAAAAGTATTCAGATCCATTTAGGGAAAAACTGAATGGAACCTTGATGGGCACACAAGGAAGCGAAAGTAGGGGAATAGACGATGAGCGGAGGAGAATTGAAAGCCCATTAAGGAGGACGGCGGAAGAGGTCTTGGGAATGAGACGATTTGCGGCAAGAAGTGAAAGTTTGATGAGGAGTGTCAGATGGCATTGAGGGAGAGGAATGAAGTAAGAATGAAAATGCTACAGAGAAAAACAAGACAGACCAAGGAAGTCTATAACACAAAAAGAAGAAGGGCTGCCAAGACTATTTGTAGGAAGAAGAAAACAATGATGGAAAGGAGCAAAGTGGAAATATTACAAACTGAATGGGAAACAAAACAGTCCAGAAAGTTTTACAAGGGGATTAGAGAATGTAAACATGGTTTCCAAGCGAGGACAGGTTTTTGCAAAGATAGAGAAGGTAACATAGTGGGAGGAACTGCAGAGGTATTGGATACTTGGCGACAATATTTCCAGGAACTTCTGAATGGAGATGAAAACACAGTGAGGAATGTGCTGCATGGGCGTACACAAGAGGAATTGCTGAGTGGCGAAGATGAAGTGGAGCCTCCTGATTATGAGGATTTCGTGGAAGTGGTGGAAACACTTAAAAACAATAAAAGTCCGGGAATTGACACTGAAATGTTGAAATATGGTGGAGAGGACCTACTAAAGAAAGTATACAACTTGTTGTTGGAGGTATGGGTCGAAGAAAAAATGCCGAAAGAGTGGACGGTAGCTATTATCTGTCCAGTTTTCAAAAAAGGAGATGCGAAAAAAACTAAAAAAAAAAACTAAATGCGAAAATTATAGAGGTATATTTCTCCTGAGGGTAGTATATAAGGCATTTTCCTCGCTCCTAAATAAAAAGTTACAAGTATGGTCCGAACGTATTCTTGGTGAGTATCAATGCGGTTTCAGGCCAAATAGATCTACAATTGACCTAATATTTTCCGTCAAACAGATGTTGGAAAAATGCAATGAATATAATCTAGATCTTCATCATCTTTTTATTGATTTTAAATAGGCTAATGATAGTGTCAATAGAGGCGAGTTATTGAAAGAAAAGGTCACTTTAGGTGTACCGAAAAAGTTAGTTAGATTAACAAGGATGACACTGACTGATAGTAGTTGTACAGTTAAGATACAAAGAGCACTATCAGAAAAGTTTGCAGTTGAGGACGGCCTAAGGCAGGGAGACCCCTTGTCCCCAATTCTTTTCAACCTAGACTTAGAATATGCTGTACGTGCTATTCGGACAAGCCCTCATGGCACGATATATAATAGATTGTCATAGCATATAGCCTATACAGATGACGTGGTAATATCGGCTAGATCAAGAGCATCTTTATTGGGAGCATTTGAGGAGTTCGAAATGGTACGAAAAAGTTAGGCCTCCGTGTAAATGATGAAAAGACTGTATGTATGAAGTCAACAAGAAAACTACCAGAAAGAATGGAAGAAATTATTAAAGTCTGAGGCCACACCTTCAGGATAGCAAACGAGTTTAAATATTTGCGTGCAATATTTACATATCAAAGAATGAACACCAAGAAGAAATTAAGGCAAGAGTAGCTGCCGGAAATGGGTGCTATTACGCTCTTCAAAAACCATTAAAATTTAGAGGCCTGACCAACAGAGCTAAGGTCATATTATATAAAACAGTCATTGGGTCAGTTGTATCCTATGGCTGTGATACTTAGGTACTTTCCAAAGAAAGTGAAAGAATGTTAAAAGTTTGGGAAAGGAAAGTACCCAGAAGAATATATGGACCTGTCTGCGAGAACGGCAACTGGAGAATAAGAAAGAATGAGGAACTGAAAGAAATGGTCCAAGAACCAGATCTGGTTTCTTTTGTTAGAAAGAATCAGTTGATGTGGCTGGGACATGTAGAACGGATGCCGGAGAATAGGATACCGAAAAAATTACTGGATGGTAAGCCTGGAGGAGAAAGAGTTAGAGGACGTCCACGATTAAGATGGTCAGATGGAATCGAGAGAGTGCTGAGAGAGATGGGAATAAGAGGATGGAGGAGACTCGCCCAGGATAGGGAAGCGTGGAGCAGGATTGTAGAGGTGGCCCAGGCCCTTGTAGCGCTATGGAGTAAGTAAGTAACTAAGTAAGATATCAGTGGGGTAACAAGGGATTTGAAATCAGTAAGGAAAGATATCAACAGACTGGTAAGGTCTGTGGCATGTGATGGAGGAGTGGATGGTAGAATCTACCGAAATACTTTGTCAGGTTTTATGCGAGACTCATTTGAGAAGTTTCAAGATTAATGTAAAATATCTCCCTATGAAGTAATTTTAGTATTTTTTAAAAATATTTTGGACAACAGTACAGACAAAAGCCACCCTGAGAAATTTCCATAGTTCTTCTTTGAACTAAATGATGAGATTTTCCGAATCCCCAGTCAGTAAGTGGTTCCAATCCTTTCTCACCAATCGCTCCCTGTACGTTGTAGTTCCTAATAACCCTCAATCAATGTCTCTGCCTCTGTCGAGAGGAGTCCCAGAAGGTTCCTCTTTATCCCCCACCCTCTTTTCCATCTACATTAATGACCTTACTTCTTCTATCATGCACTGTCAATATCACCTATATGCCGATGTCGTCCAAATTTATCTTTCCTTCAGCCCGACGGATACCATCCTGAAACTGCAACAAGACATCAATAGAATATGAGCATAGGCGAATCTTAATAAGCGTACATTAAAAACGCAGAAGACCAAAGCTATCCTGATCGGATCCTCCTCACACCTCAAATCCATTTCAGCACCTCCTAATCTTTTTCTGAACAACTCACCTATATCCTTCCATACCACCGTTAAAACCTTGGCGTTACCCTCCATCAAACCCTCTTCTGGAAACCACACATCATCCAAATTGCCCGCCATACTATATTCACCCTGAAACAGTTAAACCATTTAAGTTATCTTCTACCGTTCAAAACCCGTTAACTCCTGGTTTCCTCTCTTGTTCTCCCCGCTTTGACTATGGTATGGTGTATGGTGGACTCTCGGGAGAACTCGAAACTAAACTTAAACGTCTAATGAATTGCTCAATCGGCTTTATCTTCGGGATCTCAAGGGATACGCATATTACCCAGTTTTACACCGAGTTGAAGGGGCTTTATCCGTCCTACCGCCGTCAATATTTCCCTGCTACCTTCCTATACCAGGCTTCTTGGTAACCCGAACCAAACTTGGCGACCCGCCTATATTCTACAGATCCTACAATTCAAACGCTCCTTTCAATCCCGTCCCACCAGATCCCGACCTCTATCCTCCTCCTCACCGAACTGCTGCGTTTGATAAATCCTTTTTAATTCAAGTTGTCTCCCTCTGGAACTCTATACTCTCAGATATTCGAAACGCAAAATCAATATCCTCTTTCAAATATCTCCTCTTCAAACACCTACTCCATTCCCAATCCGATTGATCACGAAATGCACTTAAAACCTAAGCTGTAAGAATCTCAAAGTACACTCAGATACTGTTATTATTTTGTGATTCATTGATACTTTGTATACTTAATTTACTTTCTCTATTTATTTTATACTTATACACATTTTTGCATATTTTTATTATCGATAATTTTATTGTATTCCTAATCATCCTGTAAATATTTAATTCCATTTTATGGACACACCAAAATATTAATATATATTCTGTGTTTGTAACTTGTTCAAAAAGAACACTATTCCCAGAATGATATAATTATTTTCATTCATTCATTTATTCAAACCTTTTGCTGTTTATGAGGTAAGAAAAAATGGCTAGGCTCTCAGACCATACCGCAGGTAGGACATCTGGCAATCCTGTACTTTAAGGTGGGTGTCTATGAAGATTTATCAGAAGGCATCATGCAATGTTTATCCAAATAAAATGGAATACGTGTAACTGGATGAGTTGAGGAGAGACTAAGAAAAGATAATAGTGTTTGTCGATACTATCGAACTGAGGGTGTTTGCCGTAGAACATCGCAGGAAATGTGGGCACAAACGGGATGTTTTGCCATCAAACTTTGTGGAAGGAAGAAGTATAGCCGAGGAGCCTTGGCTCTCAAACGCTACATAATCTAAATATACCTAAATCAGAAGGGTATTCTCCTCCTTACTTCGCTGGAGACGGAACTTCAGCGAATGGGGGATAACCTTTCGAAGCTGTATTAGGAATGCTCAAAGTTAAGAAGATGTTCAGACGATCTAAGAGTTCCAGTCGTCTTCCATGTACCTAAAACGGTTTTTGTTATTTGAAGGTGGAAAACATCGACAGGTCCAGCCGCTTGGCGTACCATACCAAGGCTGCCCTCTTCTGCAGACCCTGTGATATTTTTGTGTGGATGAGGGAATCACTCTCTTTTATTTTATTGTATAAAAAAAAAAAAGTGTCTGTATATTTAGTAAGAAAACATTATATAGCCAAATACATCATAGTGAAGTAGTAATTTTTTCTTTCTATATATAAGTGACCTCGCGCGGGCTCATTACAGCGAATGGGGAGCGTCCCACGGATGGCGAATGCGGGGATGGTCGGTGGAAATTCCTTGGAAGTTCCTCCCGGCTAAGTCCGATGGACTCGCTGACCAACAATGAGAGAGCCCCTCCAGACTTGCTGGAGAGGGGGACCTCCAGACTTTCTGGAGGCAGGGGCCCACCAGATTTGCTCGAGGGTGTGGCGTAGGATTTAACGCCCTACTCACATATCTTTAGTTCACCGTACACCACAAATAGTTATGGATCTCTCTAAGGTAAAACGCTCATAAACCGGAGGTAAACCAGTCCCCCGTTTGGGTTTCCGGGTGGGACTGCTTTAAGGGATTCATGGCGCAAGTTAAAAAATAGGGATTTAAATATTGGTACGTGGAACGTACGTTACGTAAGGAGTTTAAACACAGCAGGAAGGTTAAAATCGGTCGCGAATGAGGTTAATGGGTACAATTTGGATGTCGTGGCTCTGCAAGAGGTTCACTGGCCAGAGAAGGGCTCGATGAGACAAGGAGAGTACACTATTTGGTACGCAGGAAGTGGGAATCATTGTTTAGGTACCGGGTTTCTAATTAGGAATTGATTGCTATCCGTTTTGAGAGACGTTCAATTCTTTAGTGATAGAATTTCGGTAGCTATATTTCAGGGATGTTGGTTTAAAATCGCATTAATAAACATACATTGTCCGACCAAAGACAGTGACGATGAAGTCAAATGTGAATTTTATGATAAACTCGAAAGGGTTTATGATAAACTACCGCGAAACTCCATGAAAATAATTGTAGATGACGCGAACGCAAAGGTGGGAAGGTAAGAAGTTTGTGTTCCGATGATTGGTAAAGAAAGTTTCCACGAATATAGTAATGATAATGGGATCCGTCTGATAAACTTTGCCATCTCGAAAAACCTGATAATTAAAAGTACTAAGTTTAAACATAAGGATATTTATAAATATACTTGGACATCACCGGATTCGCAAACACGAAATCAAATCGATCATGTCTTGATACAACATAGCTGGCAAAGCATTATAATTAATGTACGGTCTTATCGCGGAGCAGAATGTGGGTTGGATCATAAATTAGTAATCGCGAAAGTTCGACAAGAACTTAATATAAAAAAGAGAAAAGAAAACCGTTTAGATTTTGAGAATTATAATTTGGAAAATTAAAAATCCATCAATTAGAACCCAATTCGAGCTAGATGTTAAGAATAGGTTTGAAGATTTTCTGACGAGGACCGCAAGGATATTGACAAGTTGTGGGCAGAGATCAGGGTAATATTAACGTGGTCGGTAACTTGTTTCTAGGAAAAAAGGAGAATAAGAATAACAAACCGTGGTTTGATGAAGATTGTTTAAACATATGCGAAAAAAGAAAAGCCGCTAAATTAAAAGCTCTAAATAATTCTAGTGAAGATAATCTGGATTACTTCCGAACCTCAAAGAATGAAACGAGAAAATTGCTCAAAAATAAAAAAAGTTAGTATCTTAAAAATAAAGTAATTGAAATAGAAAATAATAGAATCGAAAATAACGTAAGACACATGTATAAAGGTATAAACAGACCACGTAAATGTTTAGGGCCCGTCACGTCTGGAATTAGGGATGAAAATAACAATATTCTGAGCGATCCGGTAGACATATTAAGTAAGTTTAAGAACTACTTATTATTTTAAATACGACCAGTATAAATATTATTTTAAGTACCAGTGTGCTGAACCGTTGATAGAAGAACCGAGTAAAGAGGAAGTTGAAGTAGCTATCGGAAAACTAAAATCTTATAAAGCAGCGGGAACAGATAATATTCCTACTGAACTAATTAAGGCATGGGGGAAAGCTGGAGTTTCTAAAATACATCGGTTGGTTAAACAGATCTGGGAGAATGAGAAATTACCTGAATAATGGAAAAAATCTATTCTTATTCCGATTCACAAGGGCCGGGGGATTGTAATAACTATCGAGGAATTTCACTCCTTCCGGTATGTTATAAAATATTCACTTTAATCTTAAATAGTCGAATCACGGAATACACCGAGGAAATTATCGGAGACTACCAATACGGATTTAAACGGAATCGTTCGACTATTGATCAAATATTTTACAATACAGACGAGTACCACATTATTCTTCACCAGCTGTATATTGATTTCAAAAATGCTTACAATTCTATTGACTGCCAGAAACTGTAAAACAACGCGGTTCTCTTTCACTTGTCCTATTTAATTTGGCATTAGAACATGCCGTTAGAGAGGTGATAAATACTGAAAAAGGTTTGAACCTGGAGTGGAACAATATCCGAGCTTGAATATGCTAATAATTTAGTACTGTTAAGTGAAGACATGGAAACAATGAAACTAAATACAACGTTGTTAAAGAACTGGGACTTGAAATAAATAGGGATAAGACAAAATATATGGTTAACTGCAAAAAAAAAAAAAAAAAAACCGACAATTTCGAAGATAAGGATATAGAAGATGTTTCAACACGTACAGAATTTTAGGTATCTAGGGTCTACAATAACTTAAAAAAACGAAATTGAAGAGAAGATTAAGATTAAGTTGAAGGCGGGAAATGTTGTTACTTTTCTTTGTCAAAACAAATCAGTTCACCATGCCTTTGTCCCTAAACTTAAAAATTAGAATTCACACAACCATTATCCTTCCTACGATTCTTTATCGATGCAAAACGTGGCCGCTTACATTAAAGATGAGCAACGTCTTGAGGTTTCTGAAAATAAAGTATTGCGTATAATATTCGGACCAAAGAAGGATGAATTAACCGGAGAGTTCAGACGGTTACACAACACCGAATTGCGTTAACTGTATCCTGTTAATATAATTGTGGTGATTTCATCCCGGCGAATCAAATGGGCTTGTAAAATAGTTGGGCTTAATAACGAGAGAACTCCTAAAAGGTTAATATTTGCTGTACTTAATTGCAATAAAGCCGATATAAAGAGACTAGGTTTGGACGGCGAGCGGTGGAGGGAGGTGTGTAAGGGGATAAGGGATTGGTGGTGTAGGCATCGAACCTTCGGGTTCGCTAAGCCTTTTATTGTTATTATTATTTTATATATAAGTGATTTTGGATTTTCTGTTCTGATGATGTCCGAATTCGCGAAACGTTGGGAAGTTAACTATTGACTTGTATGTTGGTGTCTCATGGCTTTGTAGTTTAGATTTTTACATTTATAACATAAATTAGAAATTAATAAAAAAAAAAAAAGAATGACATTAATGTAAATTGTAATTGTAAAAATAATTACAATTAATTTTGAATCGCATTTTTATCTGATTATTCTAATTTATTTTTAAAACAGTTATTTTGTTATTTTGAACGTTAGTTTAAAATTGTTTTCAATACAAAAACTTGATATTATGAATTATTTTGGCCATGATGATAAAGAAAATAATTGAGATATTTTATTGCAATGTTCGAAGTCTCTTCACTGTACATATTTATAGCGAAATAAAAGGATGAATTATAAATGTTTCATCTAAATCACACTGATTTGTCGTACTTTGCGCCACCCCAACCATCTTGTGTTTGATTACTACGGTGGACAATTTATACATAAAAAATATTTTTTTTTTTGAAAACATTGTTTGGCTAAAATGTGTTATTTATGTCTAAACTATATAAAATTATTATTACAGCATAGTAAATATGAGAGTAATTATTTTATAAAATACTTCATGACTTATTTACTTTCTGTGTGTTTAAAGCTGCCATCTAACGGCATTATTTTGCGTCATTAAGTCCAATGTGACCACATGGTTCCTTTTACTCTAGTGGTACTGTTGTTTTTTTTCGATTCGCTAATAGTTTTGACATTCTAAGCTTTGAATTGAGTTATTTCTAAGAAATGATAGTTCTCTATTTTTTATCAACACGGTTTAACAGTGTTTAGAGTTGTCAAATGTGGAATATAATAGCTTGTGATCCTGTGTTTTCATGGGTGATGCTCATCATATGTTAGTATAGACGTAGTATATAATAACATCATAAATCCAGACATTTAATCATGCACCATTAGTAATTGATTAATTACTTGAACTCATTTATATGAATAAGTTTAAAGAAGTAAACTCATTTATATAAGTTATCATTTTTATAAGGACATTTTTTACCTTATTGGACTTATCTGATATCAGTCTATTACTGCACATGTGATGGCATCTTGTGAAAATAAAGGCAAGGATATACCTGGTGGATCTTATGCTGGTGCAGTGCTTAATTTTAAAAGTAACGATAACAAGGAAAACATACAGGATTCACCTGAGTTAAATCCTGATTTGAATGCTGGAACTTGGGAAACTCCCAGCAAAGTTAAATCTTCTGGTCATAGTAAGCATAATAAGCAAATGTCTCTAAGTACATTAGCTAATAAACCTGAGCATTTCACTGCTGTTAATAATGTCACTAAGCCCAAGAATGTGACTTACAAGACAGATAAAGAAGTGTCAAAGATGGTGCAGCCAAACAAAGTTAATGAAGTTAACTCTTCTCCGGATTCTCAAGAAGAATTAAAAGAATGTGATAAGGTTAAGTTTGTAGATGCTCCATTGCCGAAAGTCAACCCATGGTCTGTAAATCGCAATGCTGCACTTGTTCTGAAAGGGAAACCAAGTGACCAGAAGGTTACGCAGAATACCCAAAGTGAAAAGCGGATATTACAACCCCAGAAACATGCAGGTTTGAAGTTTTTATATTGTAGCTTTGTAGTTTTTTATATTGGAGCTTTAAGCAATGCTTGTTTTTATTAAGGTTTCCTAATATAGGAATATATCTTCAATTATTGTTTAAAATCATTCATTTGTTAAATTTTAATACATTTTCTGTACAGTTTTAAGTTTAAAAATTAATTAGTTCTTAATTGACTGTTTTAGTTCAATAGTCCACTACAACTTTATTGTAGTTGTTTATGTTCTTTTGAATATTCTATTTTTAATTTTTTTTTTTGTTATTAAGATAACAATTTTACTAAATGGGTATGTTCCATTGTATATAGTTAAAAAAATAAACTTTGACAATCAATGATTTTAGCTTATTCATTTTCTTTTCATTCTTACTAAATTGATTTTATTTGGCAGCATATGTCATCTATCTTCACATTCAAATATTTTAATAGGGCTTATCAGTTTTATTATTAATATTGATTATTTGTTCCCTGTTTTGACCTTGCTCTGTAACATTTGTTCTGAAGATTTTGACTGTGTTTGTTTTTGAACACTTGTGACCTTCAATTTATCTTGGCAAAATTAGGTTTGTTAACTTATGGTTGGGTTTACTTTCATTTTTAAAGGACTGTTGTTTTCTGTTGCTCATATCTTTTCCTATTATTGCAAGTTTTGTGATTTAATTTAATTTGATTTTTTCTGTGTAAGCTTTACCATGCTTTATCTAATTTAAACAGTTTCATTGTTTCTAACTTTGTTGATTCACTTTTTCTACTAGTAATCTCTTTGTGGTTGTTTATTAGCTTTAGAAGTACTTATAAATAAAGAAAAATATTTTAGATATACAGAGGTATTACTGGTATTGTTAAATTCAGCCAAAAATTGGTCCACTTTTATAATTTCATATAAAGATATCTAATAGATCAAACCTTTTATTTTTTTATAAGCTTCAGAATTTGTATGTTTGTGCAGTATAAATAACCTAAAGATGAAATTAGATTCCTGAATTTCTATTCCTGCAACTAAGAGATGAGGTAGGCTGTTCATTAATTTTTAATCCAATGGTGAAATGTGTTAAATTTTTTATTGATCATAAAATATACAGTTTAATTAATACTATCAGTAATTTGTTATAGTATTTTATTCGTTATTTATTATGATCTGTTTTCACGAATGTCTCCATTATTATAATTGTTTCTTAATTTATGGAGAATATATATATTTTAATCTTATTTTCAAGTTGTTACAACCATGTTATGTCAAATATTTTCTTTAAAATTGGTTAAGATACTTTATTTAGGTAATTGCTTTAAGATTCTTTTACTCATATTAGTTTCTTTTTCCTTGATTGAATTCAATCTTTATATCTGTCACTTTAGTGAATATTCATTTATTTTTAAAGAAAATCTGAGTGTTTTAGTTAACCTAAACAGTAGTTATAATTTTTTGTATGAGGTTGATTAGGATGATAAATGTCTTGACTGATGGTTCCCAAAAGGTGGTGCTTTGACCCTTTTGGAGGCTGCTAGGTATCTGCGATTGGCTGGTGAAAATGTTTTAAAATAAACTTTTTTATATTACCCATATTGATATGTTTTCCACCTTGTAAAAGAAATTATTCGTAATGATCTGTCTCAATGTTCTAACTGGGTTTTTGCATGAATTTTTAGTTTTTGTGAGTCGATGAAGATTAGGTTGTAACAATAAAAATGCCAAAAGTTATCAATTTTTTTATATATACTTGTGAAGCTAATTAACATAAAAAAAGTGATGTGGATGGAGCTAGGTGGTCACAATAGTGGAAAGGTGTCTACATCATTGACTGTCAAGCCTTTTAAATATTTAGTATAAATATAATTAAGTATAACAAAATATTTTTTAGCTATAAATTAAGAAACACTACTGAAGTCAGGTTTTGACTATTTTGTATAGCATATAGAACCTGAAATCATTAATAATTCTTGTATGATTGGTGAAGTCGTCCTGAAGCAATCACAATTTGGTTTTTATCAAAATTTTAAGTTGTTCAGCCTTGAAAAAAATACGCAAAGAATTTAAATTTTTCGATTCCTTTAAAAAATTGTATTCGATAGATTTTTTAGGTGATAAAAACGAATATCAACTTAGTATCTATTTAAAAATATTTATCCCCACACTGTCAGTTGGTCCAAATTGTTCCCATACAGTAGCTATCAGCCAAACATAATATTTTTTTTTTAAACCATCCTTGTGTCTAGAATAAAGATATTTTTAAGGAGATTAAGTTGATATTCATTTTTCACTCCTTGAAGAACCCTTAAATAGAATTATTGCAATCACAAAATTAAATTATTCCTTCGAATTTTGTTGACAATCACCAACATTGTGATAGCTTCAGGATGACTCCTCTGATCCCCACGAAAATTAATAGAGATAATAATAAAAACACTCATACTGACAACAGGTTTCATCCCTTGAAAATGGCTTAAGGGCTGAAACGTCGGTATAAAAAATAAAATAAAGTTGGACTGTTGTGATCAATATGAGTGTTTTTATTATTATATTAATTTAAAGTCCTAGCCTACAAGTATAAAAATATATATTTAATTATTAGGGAGTTAACGCTCTATATGCTACAAAAAATACTACTAACTCATTCTTCGTAAGCAAATTAGAACCAAAGATATAATATAAAAAATGTTAACAATTTTTTGTTAAAAAGGAATGAAATTCAAGTGTTATTGATGTGAGTTAGAAAAGCTGTAATTCAGCTCTTCAAATGTTGCACTAAATTGAATTTGGAAATAAAAAATATGTAAAGTTATGAATGCTTTAATTAATGAAAAAAAATCTTTGAAGAAAATCAAGTACTAAAATTTTAAATTTTTTATTTCTAAAAAAATGTATATTAAAGAGTTTTAAAGAACACTTTAAAATATTACTTTTTCATAACAAAAATATGCTTGCCCTACTTTACTGAAAGCGGCTTTTGATTTTCAGACTAATAGTGTTCAAGTTTAATAACTTTAATTCTCATAATATCATTAAATAGTTTAATATTAACTAACCCTACTTAAGCAAAAATTAATTTTATCTGAAGTAGGGAGGTAAATGAAAGTAATGTGATACATGCACCGCATCAGATTTTTCTGTAACATTATCGTCTTGTTTTTATTTTCACTTACCTATGTGTGAAATATATAGTAAAATAAGCAGTTTTTAACGGAAATACACATACAGATCCCCTGAGTCCAAATAAACCAAGTCCCACAAAGTGGTCTGTTTGAGTGTGTGTATGTCAGTGTCTATTTTGTGTGTGTGTGTTTTGACCATCTAGCTCACAGACGAAAAGCTGTACGAAAGTTATATAAGGTTAGTTTATGTCGTGGATGTTACAGAAACTTTTTCGTCAAAATCGGCTAATGAGAAGTGGCACTTTATATCATCGATTTACTACATTTTTACAATTTTCTTGAAATTCTTGTGCTCTAACGATTTTGATTAAATTCTTTGTATCAGTGTAAAATTAAGCGGTTTTTAATATAATTTAGGTTTTATTATTATTGATGTTCCCTAACAGGGCTTAAATAACTAATTTTCAATATTTCTTGCTCTAAAGTACCTCTAATTTTTTTAATTTAAAATAAATGACCTCATTAAACTCAGATTTAAAAAATAGTTAAATATAAAAGAATTCAATGATTAACTAATGGAGAAATAAGAGATTGTAACGGAGTATTGTTGTAATGGAAGGACCAAAGGAATACGAGCGCACCTTAACTCGCCTGAAAGTTTAGAACAGGCTTCCATACGTAACATGAACTTAATATAATACAGATATATATATATATATATATGGTTTTCATACATGATGTTAGTATTATTTAATAGTATAGATTAGAGCTATATAAAAATCAGAATTTATATATATACCAGTACTTAAACAAATAAAAATAACGACGATAAGGTATAAATAGATATAGCATTCTTCTTTATCAGTGCCACTTTTGCCTTTGCCGGACTAAAAATATTTTGTATAATTCAGCCGTAAAAGGAAATGGCTAGTGTCAAACAAAATAAATATAATACATTAGACGGCTATGAAAAGCATATGGTAATTAATTGTTTTAAATAATGTTTTGTACTGTATATAATTTTTACTTTCACTTCCTTTGTCTGAAAATACTTATTTCTGCGAAGAAGAGGTTCATAGTGAAAGTTTTGTGATACACACACCATATTAAATTTTTTAAATTGTGATTAGATTTTAATTTTATAACATCTTTAGATGTCCTTGATGATTTGATGTTTACTAGAGGGTCCATGACTGGCAAGCATTTGGTTAACCACAGGTCTTGATATAGCGTGCCTGATTTTTCCAGGAGAGGTTTTGATCTAGGGTATTGAATGGATGAAAAAGTGTTAATTTACATAATATTGTGACATTTTTTTCTTATAATTCAGCTTGATATATGACATGCACATATTTCTTCTAATCTTATAGTCCAGTAACTTGTACATCATAAATTGCATCAAGTGATGGTCATCTTCTTTTTAACATTTTGAAGGGGGAGTGTTGGAGGAGGGCAAAGGTTTAGTGGGAGAAGAGGAGTTCACTGTTTTCTACCAGATGACCGAAATTGAAATAAAAAATGTATTTAATAAACATTTTTTATATATATATATTTTTTTATTTTAAAAATGTATTTAATAAACAGGCCAAAATGATAAGAAAAATGGGAATCTATGTCCTCACGGAGGAGGAATTTCCCGAGCAGAACTACCCGTATTACAAAGATTTTGTGTACGGGTGGAAAGCTGCTCTGGGACCCTCCCTCTTTAATCTGGGAAGAGAACCTGCAAATAGAAGGCCACCAGATTAATATAGTGAAAATAATGAAAAAAGAAGATATTTGAAAAAAACAAAACAAAACAAAATTGAAAATTAATTTGTGGTTTAATAGCAGGAACTGCATGCACGTTTGTGATATGCCATCCCTGCAAAATCCTGTGTAGCTGAAAGGCAAGGAAAGGAGGCATAAATAAATAAATAATGTATTTAATAAACATTCACATTAAGTGTATACAAAAAATGTGAATGAAAGCGTTAAAAAAATGTGAATTTAAGGTGTTCCCTTCGAATCGAAGGACCAGAACCAAGTAAATTCGCTAATCCACCTCCTTCATGGCGTCAATTAATATTATATTATTATAATATGTTATATTAGGACTTCTTGACAAGATTTTACCTTGCTATATTCAACAAATAAATATGTTCATTCCATTTCAGTTAGTCAAGGAAGATTTATATGGCACTGAAGTGATCAGGGAGGCTGCCGAGGTTGAAAACTAAGATTTTGCATCTAAATCAGTCCCCCTTTATATGACAAATATACTGGACTATAAGGTACAACTAAAGTTATTTTCAACATAGCGCAATTTTATGGCACAAGAGTGTTTGAGAAATGGTATGTTTTGGATAGAGAGTGAAGGGAAGTACTTGAGTCTCACCTTTGACTTATCACCATTTAATGTCACTTTATTTGTCTGACCACATTGGGGTTTCTCAGAATGCCTGAATGTTGTAGGTTCAATTCCTGGATTAGTCAGCTCATTATTCTCAGCACTCAGCGGCCCCGAGAAATGAATCTCGACTTTCCCACTCTGGTTATTATGGTGCAGCAATCACTAGGTAGCTGTCAGGGCTTAGCAATAAAGGCCATCTGGTCCACTTATCGAACTAATTCCTCATACCTGCACCTACCAATTTGATGCATAAGATGACATCTTAAAGCTGAAATCCAAAAATGGTGTGATAAATCTTGGAGTGGTTCATGGAAAAGTAGGATGGCTAGAGATGTTGACTATTCTCATCTGAACAACTCTTGCATTTCTATTTTGTTGTCATTATAATGCAAAATATCACTGATTACATGACATGAATGCTTATTTTTTATTTTTTTGAGATGTCTCTTGATTACTGACTATTGTGAGTCAGCTTTGCTCAATGTCTACCTGGAATATTGATTCGATCATTCTTTCTTGTGTTTTAAACCAGCTAATATGATTTTGATCTTATTCTTGTAAAGTTTAGAACTGTTCTAGGAAATTATGGCATAAGCCCCTGCTGTTAATCACTTATGTTGTTATGTTTTTATCTTGTTTAGCCTGAATTCTGATAAAAAAGATAAATCAGTTTTCTAAGAAGTTAAGGTAGTAGCTGATTTTATCTCTTGCTAATTAAATGTCATTGCATTCATTAATACATCTTGCTTTTCTTTGTGTAGAGAATCACCTTATTTATAACTGATGCTTTAGTTTGGAAGAGAATTATTAAGTTGCTGGATGGATTATTTTCATCTCTTTTTATAGGGGTAAGCTTATAACCTAATTATATTTCTTTATAAATTGTCCATACTCCATGATAGATAGTTTCTTTTCTTGGTTTTCCTCTTTTTCCTAATCTCAGTCAGGAAGTGAACACTTACATATTAACTTTTTGTGGTGAATATGCTGTATGTACATGCAAGTTTTTTGTTTGTTAGGTAGAATATTTTTATTGTAGTGAATCGATAGAGATTATTTCCCTATATTATTTCTACCTATCATATTTGTTCGTACCTTGTTGCATACTCCATTGAACCTTGTGAATATGCAGATGAAGACTCACTATCGTCCACAATCAAATTCCAGAATCTTACGTCTTCCTCTATTCACAGGTTCCTGCAAAGATGAACTATTGCCACTTATGTTTGACAACTAAGGTGTGCCGTAAACAAGAACCGTGAATAACTGAGATTGTGATGTTCTGCTTAGAAAAATAAATGAACAGAGGAATTTTATATTTCCCTCAATCTAATCCTATTCAAATTCCATACGAGTTTTTGATAACTATACCTCATTAAATTAAGTGTATGAAATTGGTTGAAAAAATTATGAAATTAGTTGAAAAAAGTATGAAATCTGTTGAAAAAATTATGAATTCGGTTGACAAAATTATGAATTTGATTAGCAAAGTTATAAAATTGGTTGAAAAATTATGAATTTCACTGAAAAAAGCTATATCTTGAATACAAATACCTTTTAGCTGGGTAGAAATTTGTTTAAATAAACCTTTAAACTTACAACTATGACGGCTGTTTTCTTTTTTATTTAATTCATTTATATTTAACATATTTTTTAATCTTTTTATTTGAATCGTTTTCCTTGAGGACCAGTTTCACTACCCTATTATACATGAATGAATGTAAATAATTTAATTATTCTGGGACTAGTGTCCCTTTAGAACAAGTTACAAATTCAGAATATATATTAATATTCTGGTGTGTCCATAAAATACAATTAAATATTTACAGGATGATTAGGAATACCTTTACCTAGGAATCTGGGTGTACTTTAAGATTCTTACAGCTTAGGTTTTTAAGTGCATTTCGTGATCAATCGTATTGGGAATAGAGTAGGTATTTAAAGAGGAGAGATTTGAAAGAGGATACTGATTTTGCGTGTCGAATATCTGAGGGTATTGAGTTCCAGAGAGAGAAAAAGGATTTATCAAACGCAGCAGTTCGGTGAGGAGGAGGTTAGAGGTCGGACGCATGGGATCTGGTGGGACTGGATTGAAAGGAGCGTTTGAATTGAAGGATCTGTAGAATATAGGCGGGTCGCCGAGTTCTAATGGCCTAGTATAGGAAGGTAGCAAGGTTTTGAACGGAAGAAGATAACTTAAATGGTTAAATTGTTTCAGGGTGAATATAGTATGGCCTGAAATTTGGGTGATGTGTGGTTTCCAGGATAGGGTTTGATCGAGGGTAACGCCAAGGTTTTTAACGGTGGTATGGAAGGATATAGGTGAGTTGTTCAGAAAAAGATTAGGTGCTGAAATGGATTTGAGGTGTGAGGGGGATCCGATCAGGATGGCTTTTGTCTTCTGCGTTTTTATTGTCAGCTTATTAAGATTTGCCTATGCGCATATTCTATTGATGTCTTGTTGCAGTTTCAGGATTGTATTAGAGGAATCCGTTGGGTTGAAGGAAAGATAAATTTGGACGACATCGGCATATAGGTGATATTGACAGTGCATGATAGAGGAAGTGAGGTCATTGATGTAGATGGAAAAGAGGGTGGGGGATAAAGAGGAACCTTGTGGGACTCCTCTCGACAGAGGTAGAGACATTGATTGATGGTTATTAGGGAATATAGTATGGCTATTCCACGTTACCATAGCTCCGTAGGGTAGTTTCAGCTGCTCTTTGCCCCACTTCATCGTTGTCAAGCTATGGGACCACCCATAAATCAATTTTAAAGCTATTAAAAACGAAATTCTCGAGCCCTCCAACCATTTTCCTTTCCTTATTAAAAGTTTTGTGTCATAAGTCCTACGAAAGCATCGCAATTTGGCCTTCCTGGTTAACTTCATTCGATGACCTCGTTCACAAAATTTCACGTCGGCAAGTACCCCAACATTTTGAAAGTATTGAATTGCCTGTTCTTCTGAAGGTGGCAAATCCCATATTCTAAGAAGATCCATAACATGACGAAAATAAACGGGGAAAAAATGAAAAATAAACACAAAGATGCCACAAACTAAAAAAAAAAATGTAAAATAAACACAAACGGGCCAAAAGTAAAGAATTTAATAAGTGAACATAATAAGGGAATAACTGAAAACTAAACAATGCAATAACTCAAAGGTTTGGCGGGATAAGAAGAGGGAGGTTATGTGACGTGACGTTAGATAAAATAGATAAGAATTGAGGTTTCAGTCCGGCCCCCTAGACAAAAAGTGCCCCAAATTTATTTTACCAATCAAATACAAAAAAGTGTTGTAATGTAGTTGAAACATTATAAAACAGTTTCATGATTGTTTAAGTTGTCAGCCCGTCCCAGTATATAGTCTAAAACTTCAAAATATTTTTATGATGCTGTTTGTTTCTAGACCTCTCTGTTTCTTTAATCCCTACAGTGAAGTAATCATAGTCAGCAATACTTAATACTGCTAAATAATTATGTATAAATTTATTTATTATGTATGTGTATATGTATATATATATATATATATATATATATATATATATATATATATATATATATATACACACAGACAGACATACATACAAAAATGACCAAATTAACTATTGAAAACAATGATAACATAAATTGTCGATTATGTTAATTAACAATATGTAATATATTTGTATAATAAGAGTGTTTAAAGGACTTTATCTAATCATTCCATCTTTTTTTTTTAATTTCTTAATTTATTTTTTATTTCTTCAGGATAATTATTGCAAATAGTTATTAAAACATTATATTCATTTATTCGTTGGCAAAGTATCGTATTCGACTAAAATTAATGTTTGGCCTAATTCTAAATAACCTATCATTTAAGGGACTCTTGGCTCTAAAATGTGTGCTTTCAAGAAATTACTGTATTCCATATATCTTTCCTTTAACTGATAATTCATTAGACATTTAAGGAAATATTCATTTTATTTTTAATGTGATTTCTCTCTGTTATTTAATTTGGTCTTGAATTTTAAGGTTATTATAATGTTTATTCATGTAAGTTTAAAATTGTTAATTATTCTTTCTTTTTTTTTTCATAGGCAACAATGTTGAATCACCATCCAATTCTGTTCCTTTGAAAGATAAAAAGAAGTTCAGTCGGAAGGTATGGTATGCTATTTTAGTTATGCTGCTTTATTGCATTATTCATTAAAATTTATAATGAATAAACCATTAATGTTATAAAATTTTTGAAGTAATAAATAAGAGAGAATTAATAACTGTAAAACATAATGTAATAATGAAATTAATCTTTTTTAGGATTAAGTTTTTTTTTTTTAAAGCCATAAATAATTCTTTCAAGTGAACCAGAATGAAAAATAAAATAAGCTATTTATTTTGGTACTTGTATTGAAATTTCCACTGATAATTTATGGATTTTTAAATAAAATTTCTGAAAGAATAAAACCGTTTTATATTATTGTATAGAATAAAGAAATGTTTTCCTCTAATTTGAACAAAAGGCTGTCATATTATTAAAAATAATTGCATAGTTTGAACAAAACAAATGAGAAGACAATTAAAACATGTGTTAACTTGACAATACTGACTAAGCAATATATATGCTTATTTAGCAGTGATAATTTTTTTGTCCATGGGTTGTTTTTTATTCTTTTCTACATACTTTAAAGTTTGGAATTGATTGATTTATCCTTGTGTTAGAGACTATAAATTAGAAATGTAATACAGATAATCCTCACTTTACGACAGAGTGCTGTTCCGATGATTACCTTGTGTAGCGAATTGGTTGGGAGTAGGGATGGACTGTTTTGGGCAGAACGGTTCGCTGAATGGATTTCACCACTGGAAAGGTTTGGAATGGAACGAAACCCTAGGAAACTTGGTACCCCCGTAGGTACAAAAGGGATTTGTAGTAATTAGGGTAAATGCGCTAATTGCTGCAAAAGTGGATCAACGGAATAGTCGAATAGGTTGTTTGTTCAAAAGTGTACCATAATTTAGTGTTTGATTAAATGTAAAGAAATATAATTAAATAAAATATAGTAAGATCCTAACCATGATTTTAAGATAACAATTTGCAAATTTTAAAAATATTAATTATAATCCCAAGATTCAGATAAACTATTAAAATAATTATAAATAATATTAAATAAATATTTTAATCTAATTTTATTATTATTAAGATTAATGATAAATATGTGGTTCTGTTGTTCAAATGAAATTTGTCATAGAAAATTTTATATCATTGGTTTATTTGGATTTAGAAAACCTTAGATTTTGCATTTTATTTTTTAGCTACCTATAAAAGTCATGAGAGATACCAATATTGTTTAAACATTTTAAAAGTTAACAAAAATAGTGAATTTTATTAAATTTTGGATTTTTTATTATTATTTTATTTTTAATTTATTTGTAAGTCATCTTTCTTGTTCCGAGGGGCTTTGGAATCCCATTCCATCCGAATGTGAACGCTTTAATGTTACGTTACATTTTACATTACATTTGTGTTTTCATTCCAATCCAAGATTTCATTCTAGCATCCGTCTGGAATGATTATGATACGGATAAGTGTCTACGTTTGTTGTTATTTTTAGTTTAAATTAGTAAGTCTTAATTTAATTAAATTGTGCATATGATAGTAGTTCTGCAGACCAAACCACCACTTAATAGATAGGGTCCTTGTTGTCATATAAACTATTTATTTTCTAAATATCAGTTTAATTCAATCATTGCCTCAATGTTGCTCTTGAGCTCTCATTAATGTTGCTCTCGAGCTCTCATTAATGTTCCTCTCAAGCTCTCATTAATGTTCCTCTCGAGCTCTTATTAATGTTTCTAAAGCTTCCAGTTCATTTTTTTTTTTCTTTCAATTTTTTGTACTCCTCTCCGATTATTTTCATTTTCCTCTGCCTCAATGATTTTTCAGTTGTTTTAAATAGTTTTAGTATTACGCATATTTGCTTCATTATTCTCTACCACGGTTCATGTGTTGTTCAGAACGAAGATGGAACGAAACGAGAACTGGAACGAATTCCAGTGGTGGAACATTCCTACCTGTAGTCGGAATTGCCCATCCCTAGTTGGGAGTGTTCTGGGAATATAGGATTGTTGTAAAATTATTCATTAAAAGACATACATATTATATAAATATTATTATTTTAAACTGTAGTGGGTTGGGTCCAGATGGTGGAGACGAGACCACTATGATAAAATAGAAGTTGTAACTAAATCGGCCAAGATTCTGGATATACCATTAAATTGTTATAATTACCAAAAGTCTGATGTGCTCCTTTGTCATGTTTTGAAATTTATGTTATAAATAAAATAAAATACAGTTATACTATCTGGAGCATCAACATTCCTAAGACCAATAATTGGGTGTCTGCTATGGGGGATTCTATTTACCTATGGATATGATTATTTACTCTTTTACTATTGTTATTAAATAACTGTTTTTTATGTAGCTGAATAGCTTTGTTCAAGTCTTTGTTTATTTGAATATTGATAGGTGACATTGTTTTAGTTTTGTTGGAGATGAAGTTATTGATGAGAATACATATTTTTTTTCTGGTTGCATTTACATGATTATCTAGAGTGTATATGTTGCCAAATATGTTCTCAATGTCTATTATTAAATTTACTAAGTCATTATCTTTGTTTTGAATTCCAAAGACTTGATCAAACTAAAACAGTTCATAAACCAAAGTAACGATATTGTCTTTATAAAATCAGATAAAACGAAAAAAAAAAATAGCTTTATCTATAAAACAGATTATAATGGTAAAATGAAGGAACTATTGAATGACAAAAACAATCCGATACCTGAAGTTACAAGTAAAATCAATACCTATGTAAACAAACTCCATAAATTAGGTTATGTTATATAGACAAATTCACTAAAAACAAACTTTCAGCTTCGGACTCCACTGCACCAGGAATTCATGGCCTCATTAAACTGTACAAAACTTACAATAGTTTGAGACCCATAATGAATAATATAGACGGACCAACTGAAGCTTTTTCAAAATTCATAAACCCATCCCTCAACGCTCTTAATAATAACGATTTTGATGTCAAGAACAATATGGAATTGAAGGAGATAATTAAGAATAGCCAGCATAGTATAAAAGGAATAGAAATTGTAAGCTTGGATGCTGAATCACTTTTTACTAATATCCCATTAGATGATTGCTTAAAAATTATAGATGACAATTGTGATAGCATAAAAAGTGAAACTAAGATTAAAGATAACAAATTTTCATTGAAGGGGTCAATTTATGTTCTAGAAATAACTACTTCAAATATAATAACGATTTTTATAAACAACTTTGGGGAGTCGGGATGGAAAATACAATGTCAGCGAATCTAAGTGCCATTTTTTTAAACAAACTTATCACAACACAGTTATCGAAAATAGAACAAAAACGCCTGTTAATCAAAAAATATATAGATGACCTATTACTTATAATAAGGAAAGACTCTGGAAATGAAATATTGGAATGTTTCAACTAGAGATCGACTGATATCGAAATTTTGGCCGATACCGATATTAAAAAGGCTGATATATAGGGCATATCGTCCTTTTTTTCCCCTTTTCGCCAAAGTTTGTACAGTTTCACATGGAATATCCTTCTTGTTGCTAAATAAAAGAATAAATAGACCATCTAAGCATCGTCCTGTAAGCAAATTTTGACCAATAAAAGAGAGGTAAACCTATATTTCATTATATCAGCCTTTCGTAACTATACGTCTGGTTCCAAACAACGATGCATAGAAAATGCTCGTAATTACTGAATGAAAGTATCAATCTATCATCTAAGGTTAGATCTATAAACACATTTCAGCCGATACGTATATTTTAAAAACCTATACCTATATACAAACTAGGGATAGACCAATATCGAAATTTTGGCCGATACCGATATTACAAAGGCTGATATATTGGCCTTATCGTCCTTTTTTTTACTTTTTCGTTAAGATTTGTGCAGTTTCCGGTGGAATATCCTTATTGCTAAGTATAAATAGACCATTTAGGCATCGGCATATACAAAATTTCGACTAATAAAGGATAGATAAACGTTGGCTTTTGATAAAATATTTTTGCTACTATCTAGCCTATTTATGAACACCACCCCGGACCATCTTCTTCCTTTATAATGCAACGGTCAACTATTAAATATTCAGAAATCTTGTATAGTTTAACACATTTAATTTTAAATTGATTTTCTTGATGAATAATCAACCTATATTTCAACATATCGGCCATTCGTGTCTACATGTCTAGTTCAGTACGTCGCATAGAAAATTCTCAATCAATAAGTGTCAATCAAACATCATGATATATTGGCCTGATGTCTTCATTTTATTGATATTAGTACATTTAGACCATTTTTTAATATTTATTTATACTATTTTGTTTTTATCCTCTCCCCAAAATTTGAGCTAATACTGATATTCTTAACACCGATATATCGGCTTTACAATCTAATTTTATTATGATTCATGAAGTATCACATGGAATTAATATTATTTCTATTCCTAATAAATGTGTCAATCAGTTTCCAAGGTTTTGACATTAACATAACTTTGAGAGAAGAGAGATAAATCAGCCTCACAAATTTTTGTTTTTTTTCACAGTCCACCCCTTCCTCCGCATTTAGACTACGGTGTTTTCATGGGTCAGGGGTGGGGGATGGAGGGGCATTAATGCCAGATTTAAAAGTCTCCCCATTGCACCAGGACGCGAACTCATTTGTATAAAATTCTGTGATATATCAGGTAGCCCGCAACAGCGGGGCTGAGCTTACATGTTAGCTTCAAGACTTTATTCTAAAAAAAATATAAAAATTTTCAAACTCTATCTCGATTTTTTTTTTAAATTTTGTGCTGGTCTTCTTCCAAATATTTTTCGGTCCAACCTGTGGACCAATATATCGTCCTTTTGACTTTATTTTATCATAATTCATAGAGTTTCACATGGAATATTATTTATACTAATAATAATTTGGCCAATCAATTACCATGGAATCGACATAAACATAAATGTGAATACAGGCCGATATATCGGCCTTTTGCCTTATTTTATCATAATTCATTGAGTTTCACTTGGAATATTATTTACACCAAATAATAAATGAACCAATCAATCACCATGGAATCGATATAAACATAAATGTAAGTAAAGACCGATATATCGGCCTTAAGATTTAATTTTATCAAGATTTGTAGAGTTTCATAATTTTTATTTTGTGCTTGTCTTCTACCAAATATTTTTCGGTCCATGCCATAGACTGATATACCGGCCTTTTGACCTTATTTTATCATAATTAATAGAGTTTTACGTGGAACATGATTTATGCTAAAGTTTAATCTAGTTTGATAACTTTTTAAAAATGTTTTGTGCTTTTCTTATTCCAAATGTTTTTCTGTTCATCCCATAGACTGATATACCGGCCTTTTGACCTTATTTTATTATAATTAATAGAGTTTCACGTGGAACATGATTTATGCTAATAATAAATTGGCCAATCAATCACCATGGAATCGATATAAACATAAATGTGAATAAAGACCGATATATCAGCCTTAAGATTTAATTTTATTAAGATTAATAGAGTTTGATATTTGTTTTTAAATTATGGTTGTCTTCTTCCAAAAATTTTTCGGTCCAATGATATGTCGGTTTGAGAAAAATGTGTTAGTGGTGCACGAAAAGAAAAAATAAATAAAAAAGAAGAAATCAAACTCAACTAATCTTGATATAATATGGTTGGGAGGCCGATATATTGGTTTTTGGAATAGTGGTATCTGCTCAACTTTGCGGATGAGAAGGACCAAAAAAGTACATTAAAAAGTAATAAGATTAATCAAACAGTGCCAATCTCAATAAAATAAAGTTATAAAGCCGATATATCGGTCATATATTGCTCATATTTATGTTTATGTTGATTTCTTGACGCATTTATTAGCAATAAAAATAATATTCGGACAATTTTTTAAAATCATCAAACTCAACCAATCACAATAAAATAAGATTATAAGGTCGATAAATCGGTCTTTGCTCATATTTATGTTTATGTCGATCCTTGAAAAATATAACCTGATAATGAAGTTGGCTGTGGGTGGCAGTCACAGAGAAAAATAAAAACTATTTTACAATTATAAAAAATGTAACCCAACTTCGTAAAAAATTTAAGTAGATCTGTAATAAAGAAATAGCCTACAGACATTTTACATTACAAATTTTTTACAATGTGAATGACAGAAACATCACTAGATTTGTTAGTATTATGTCAATATTATTGTGAGATAAAATAAAATTGTCTGGTTGAACCTCAAGTTTTAAAATTGATCGAAGTTACAAAACAGGGATATTGTTTTAAGTTCCAAATTGATGTAAAAAGTTTTCTTTTTAGTAAAATGTTTCTAATAACTTAGCACGCGAAGTAAGGATTTCTATATTTATTATCTAAAATTAACTACACATCAATTTGAACTAGATTGATGATAAAAATTCCTAATTGTTATGCTATTCCATATTTTGTTTTCGTGCATTTTTTATACATTTGACCAAATATTCTTAAGAATAACTATCCTCAAATGTGTTTAGCCAAATTTTAATAATTGAATTTGTTGAGAATTTCAAGTTAAAATAGTATTTTTATATTATTTCAGAGTAGTGATTTGACAGATGTTGAAGATTGGCCATCTCTACAGAAAGCTGAACTGCCCCAGGTAATAATTATATGTGCTAAGGAAGTAATTTTTTTTATTGAACAAGGTGTTTACTTAGCGAGCTCTTAGGTAAGAGCAGACCTTTTTAATTCAATTAACCTCAGGTTTTTAGATTTGTGAAAACTTGACAATCAGGTTCTTCATACAGTCTACTGGTGGTTTTTATTTTTATGCAATCTAAGGTTTTACATTTTAAAGTCTATTTAGAAAATGTTTATTATTTTTCATTTTTTTAAAAGTATTTGGAACAATTAAACGATATTGTGTGTTCTAATAAGTAGTTTTAAAAATGTGTAATAGTCTCATTAGATATAATTTAGTATAAGTCACTTCAGGAGATTGTACTTATTATTTTCAGAAAAAACATCCTCTTCCCCCTAGTTCAGAAAAAGAAATGGCCGATGAAGAAAATAGTAATCCTAAGGACGTTACAATAATGAAGGAAGAATCATCTTCAACTGATAACAACAGCAATCACAATTGTTCTGATATTGATCAAGATTATTCTAATGGAACAGACAAAAAAAAGGTCAAGAAAAAAGGTATAGCATCCATGAATATTCATTTCTAGTTTTCTTATATGTTGCATTTATATGATATTATAATTTTCATCTTGATTTTGTTCATTTCTTTTCAGTGGTTAACCGCCATCAAAAATGGATACCATTAGATATTGATCTTTTAAAAAACAAAAACAAAGAAAAATTTTCTAAGTCAATATACAAAGATAGAAGTGAAGGTAATTTTTAATGAGACATGTATAGTAAAATATAATAATGCTATTTTCTGCTTTAATAGCTATTAAAGTTATTAAATAGTTTATGGTAATAGTTTATAGTAATAGTTTATGGTAATAGTTTATAGTAATAGCTTATGGTAATAGGTAATTAAATCGTTTATGGTAATAGAGATGTAGTCTGAAAAGAAAAATATACAAATAAATATAAACTTATTGAAGCAGTGCTAATGTTTTGGTCTGAGCTGCTATTGTATCGATGAAATCCCATTTGTTACTTTCTTTTAAATTTCAGTAACTTTTAAAGTAAAATGTATCAAAATTTTTACTATTTAAAGTATATTCTCAAATCTCGAATTATCACACTTTTTTAGTTTTCAAATTATTGGGAGCGGGGGATGGAGAGCTGAATCCTCCCTTCCCACAGCAACATCCTTGTATTAATACCTGGAATAGTTTAGCCTAGTACTTTTATATTAAATAGTACTTAAATATTAGATTTTATTTATTTCTCTTCTTCCACTTTGTTCTATCTTATATCTAATATTTAATTTTGTAGATATTTCAGGTCGTGATAATTGTTACTTCGCTGGAAGGCCTAGAGAACTAGGTTCAGCTGTAAGAGGTAGGGGAAGACCTATTGCTCGTGGCAGAAATAGACCAAGAGGCGGTATAAAATCTAAATTTGATCCTGAATATTCTGATTATCCAACTGATTACACCCAGGTACTGCATATGAAATATTAGATGTTTATTATAATTTCATTCATCTATTCTCTCTCTCTCTCTCTCTCTCTCTCTATATATATATATATATATATATATATATATATATATATAGAAGAGAGAGAGAGAGAGAGAGAGAGAGAGAGAGAGATACATTTTGTTTAAGTATGACATTGAAAATCTTTATCCCATAATTAATCACTGTCACCTTTTGATTGTAGAAATAGTTAATTTTAGTTTACTACTTGCATTATTCTTTGAATGAATTGAAATTATGAAAATCTTTTTATTTATTTTGTTCTAGTTAATTTTATTTTTTTTAGAACTTTATATTTAGTATTGATAAAATTAATTTTTATGTATTCCTTATAGTTGTTGACTATTTGTAACTTCTATAATACAATCTTTTAACAATAAGGCCATGGTTAGTAGCTATATAATATAAATATATATAATTATATATATATATATATATATATATAATATATATATAGGTATATGGTTTCTGTAATATGTTGGGTAAAATACCATTTAAGTTACTTTGATTTGATGACTTAAGGGTTCTAAATTATCTTTGAATATTGTAATGGCTGAGGTCTTTAGGATTAATAGGTCCTTAAGTTAAGTATCCTCATTCTCTATATGGGTCACCCATCTAGTAGTGTTCGTCTAAGATGAGTTTATGGGTGGGTAGAGGGTGAATGACATGGGCAGTGGCAAAATGATTTTTTGCCGATCCTCCACTCTTTTGTCTTCTCTCCACTAGAGGTGAGCATTTATGCTACTTTTGAAAAACGTAAATAAACTGTTCATTGACAAAAAAAGAACAGTTCTTTAGAACTGTTGAAAAAAAAAAAATAGTTCATAGAAAAACGCGATGATTGAGCTTAGGAACTTTCCCTTTTTCAAACAAATTTGTTATAAATTTTTTACCATATTTCTTCATTAACTGTTGTTCTAAGTTTGAAATTATGCTGTTTCCTCATAAGGCTTCTTCTGATTGATTTAATTTTTATAGAGCATAGTAGTGTTTAATTGTATTTATGCCATTAAATTGATTTATGTGAATATGTCCAATCATGAAAATAATTTCCGGTATGCAAGACACTAATATAGATAGATACATCTAAAAAATAACCTAATATTTAACTAAAAATATGCTGAAGTTAATTTAGTAACTATAATATAAATGTTTATTTATTTCTAACCTTCATTAATAATGGGAGCTAAAAAGTACATCCTTAAACTTAACAGTTTAAACATGTCTTATGAAAAAGCTGTTGGGTTATTTTCATGATGGGAAGTGGAAAGAGCTTTTGTTTCGTTTAAACTAAAAAAAACAAAAAACGGAACAAATAGTGCCTCGACTAGTGGCAAATGGATGAACTAAAGAAAAACAACTCTTGTTATCCATTTGGAAGAGCAGTTCATTCATTTGAAATAAAGAACTGTTCTTTTCAAACATTGGAAATTTTCTCTCCTACCCCAACTCTATTCATGCTGTCAGCTTGACTTCCAGTTTAATGTTATAACTTTAAACTGTGAAGCACACTTCTATAGTTTTTTTTTTTTACAAATAGAAATTTTTTATTCATTTCTTTTATCAATTTTCGTTTACTATTATTCAGTTAAACTTTCCCCTCAGACCAAAAACGTAGTTATAAACATAGACTGGGAGTGGTCCGGTCCAATCCTTTATTATGAAATAATAAATAATAAAATGGTTAATAATTGGTAATAATAAACGGTTTTATTAGATTTTTTGTAAATTTAAAAATTGATTTTTATAAACAATTTCTTGGTAAATTTAGATCTACAGATGTGGGGCCTAGTAATAACATCAAGTTCTTTGAGCAATAGACCTCCCAAATTCACATTTTTTGTTGTCTTATTTTGATTATTTAAGCATTTTTGGCATTGTTTTATTTTATTTTTGAATTGAAGTCCATAACGTCAATAAACTATTGTATGAAATATGAACTACCCGTTCCCAGTATGAGGTGATAGCTATGGTGAGGAGGAGAGATGGAGGTTGAGAGGAATTTAGGAAGGAGGTGGAACTTTATAGGGGAAAGGCTGCGCGAGCTCCCTTTCCCTACAGGCAAACTCTTCTTAGATACACAATACTTCGTATATGTAAATATTAATTTGTCATCGATTTTATTATGTTAAAATTAATCTCCTTGATGTGAGTTTAAATTCCAGAAAATTATGATGCTAATAATTAATTTGTTGTTATATTTATTATTTTTTTCTTTCAGATTCATAAGTATATTGGCACTACAGAATTTGTCATACCTTATTTTGGGACCTATTATTATGACCCTAGTTACAGAAATTTAGATGACCCAACATTATCAGAGTATGTTAGAAAACAAATGTAGTATTTTCAGTTTTGTATATATATATATATATATATATAAATATATATATATATATATAAATATATAATACTATATATATATATATTATATACATATACACTTATACAGGGTGTCCCGTAAGTAGAGGGAGATTTTTATAGGAGTGATAGCAGATCTCAAGGGCTATAAAAAGTTCATATTTACAATGGGCCAATTTTCAGCAGAAATCCAAGTTTTGTGGTTTTTTTAAGTGAGTCATGTTTTTTATTCAATCAAGCAATATCTAAAGAAATATTTAATTTAAGTAATTAATAATTGCTTTATTGTAAACAAGATGAAATTTTCTTTTAATGGACATAGAGTTTATCATTGTTAAAACCATTTACAGAGGACTTTTGAGCGGCTAAACTAAGCCAAGTTCTTTTTTTAGAAAAATCATAAATAATTCGCCATTCTTTATCATCAACCAACTATACTTCAGTTTCCCCACTTTTACAAAAATGTCTTCCTTTAATAAGCATTAAGTTCGTATTAATTAAGTTAAGGTTTATTAGGAAAAATTTGAGATTCAGCTCAAGTTTTGTAAAGAAAAAAAAAAAACTTATTTTTTATCCTATCAATTAAAAGACCCTTGTTTTCAGCAAAAGTGACTACAATTAATTGTTGAAAAGCTTTTATTTCGGATGTATTTTATTAAACCCAATTGCCTAAACCCGTATTTTATTTATTCAAAAAATTAATTCGAAAAATAGTGATTTTCCAATATTTTTTTCCGATGAATCGGTTATAAACTGAGTTTTTTACCCAGATCTTTACATTAGGAATTGATCCGAATTTGTAAGTGACAAACTAAAGGTTCCAGATCCTAATATTAACGTTTTAAATAAAATAATTGAATCAATCAGCAGGTTTTTTTTTTTTTATTTCAAACATAAATTTTAGGGCTAGAAACTTTTTTGTCACTCTCTAATACGTGTCAATTCCTATAATAGATATCTTAGTGAAAAACACATTTTATAACCAATTTATCCAAAAAATATTTTAAAAATAAGTATTGTCCAAAGAAGAATCACAAACGCGCTATTTAACTTTACTTAAGGATGGCCGTTGATCGTAAATATTATTGAAATATCGATATTTTCCTCTACCATGCACTACATTCTATATGAAACAGGCATGGTGATTATATTTTTTCCTAATTATCAGGTTCATATTTATATATAATCGCTCCTAAATTATTTCCTATCATTTTCCAAAAATGATAGTTTCAATTTTTATTTTAAAATTATAATATTAAATTATCGAAGCGACGATATCATTAGTTGACAATATTGAAGTAGAATATATTATGGATGGTAAAATATCGAATATAGAAAGGAAAATCTTGATGATATCGACTATCGATGGCCATCCCTAATGAGAAAAAGGAGTCTTGGAATGAAAAGTTTTTAATATAATGTAGTATGGAAAGGAAGACAGGATTTTATTAGTTTTACTGGAATATAGAAAGGTCTGTTGATGTATTGTTTAGTTTGTACAGTGATCAGAAGGTCTCGACAGAGCGTGTTCAAATTAGGGTGATATGACTTAGTGGATGAAGGAAGAGCATAAGATAGGATAATCTCAAGTGTCAGGCAGATAAGCACCCAAATCACTCTTGGGTGCTAAGGTACTAAGGAATGAACCTTAATACTCCTCAGGTAGGAAACCACAAACGGAGGAATGAATCTCCTGACTTTGTTGGAGGATGCAATACTAACAGAGGGATGAACCTCCTGACTTAGTATATAGGGGTACAATAGGGCAGATGAGCATCCAGACCTTGTATGGAGAGAGAAAAGCTTAAAGGAGTATTGTAAAATAAAAGGCAGTTCAATTTAGAACCAAAAAGCATATATAGAATATATTGATCAAACTGCTGGGAAGATCTGACATCCTGAAGGATGCAGACCCGAGGACTTTCACTCTCCATTCCGCCATGGCTAAATCGGCTTGCAAAAGCTGTTACAGTAACTGTTATTTAAAATGCTTGGATCTTCATATCTTATTGCCATTAAACTTTATTAATATAAAGTATTCACAATGTATATACATATTTACAATTAAGAACTTAAGTATTTTACAATACAATAATGAAATTAAAAGTGCTGTGGTGAGTAATTTATAATAGGGCACAAGGGAGAGATAATAGAGCACAATTTCTGGGTTAAAGCTGTAAAGTTCATTATCAACAGTAGGTTATAAATTGGAAGAAAAGGATAAAAAATGATCATTGAGATGATAAGGAATGACTGGGATGGAACTGAGATATTAGATTCTAATTGGGATTATTTTCTTATTTGGAATTCTGACCCTTAGAAAAGATATTTTATAAGTGGAGGGATTTAGTGCATCCCAATAAGATAAGATGGTGTGATGAAAGAAAGGTAACATGAAGCTGAAAAGAGGAAAGTATTTTAGTGGTAGAGTTGTAGTTGTAAAATTTTAGATAGGTGTCCGAAAATTGTGTGTGGTGGATTGGAGAATAAAGGACAAAGTAAAGATTGCATTAAGGGAAACATTAGTTGAATAAGAAAGAATTTACATTGGATTCTGAAAGCATGTTCATGTTGAAATCACCAGTGATGATGACATTGG